TATGAATTGTAAGGGAGCATCTCCGGTTACTCACGGAACCTCGGTTCCCTGAGATGAGGGAACAAGACATTGCACTTACTGCCATGTCACCTAGGTCAGGATCTAATAATTCCAAGTTGCTTCAGTCAAGATTCTGAATGGATGACGTCCAAGCGTTGCCTTATATAAAGAGAGAAGCCCCTCATATTTCGTGCACTTGAATGCCATTGGCCAGTGTTACTGGTGTGATTCTATAAGGCTTCAGTAGTATTTGGAGGAAGGGGTTTCCCCATAAGCATTAGCAAATGCAATGTCTCGCAATGTCTCAGGGAACCGAGATTACGTGATTAACCGGAGACATTTTGTTTGCCTTTATCTCTCTGCATTTTCCCAAAGGTGCCCCTAAACCGTATGCAGTAAATTTTGTAAAGTAACATTTCATGATAAGGTTTAGGAACATTACGGTTGAGCTTGACAAAATATTAGATGTAAAGATACATATATATGTTTAAGAACAGATCTGATCTCAGAAATCTCCCCAGTGCATGTGCATTTTACACGCATATATAGGATATATCTATGCGATCTATATGTGGTAAGCTAGGAATATTGCATGCACATATTGTGTTATGGCTCTCTAGCATGCTTTCATTTCACTGATATTTCAGTCTAATGTTCAGATATTCATGGTAGTTTGTCTTCATAGAGGAAATGTGTGCCGTTTCTCTCTGCGATGTGAGTTTTTCTTTCTAAACTGTGTTTTGTCTAGATTCACTGGGGTTTGTCTCTTTGCAGCTGTGCGGGTGTTGTGTGTGTGTGTCACCGTTTTTTCTGTGTGTTGCAGGCTGTACCCACTCCTCTCCTCTCTCCCTGGCAGTGCCAGTACCAGACTGCACCTCGGGCCAGCATGCCTCAACGCCGGCAATGTGAGTCATTAACCCCTGACCTCTGATGCCATTCCCTTGGCAAAATGTTCTGTTTTCTTTCCGTCATCCTCTGTTTCTTTCTCTGCTCTTTCCTTCCTTTCTCTTTCATATATGGTCTCCCTATAGGTTTATGGATATATATACACAATATAGTTACACCAGGCAGTGAGTCAGGGCTGTATAAATAGGATATTAGTGTAATGAGAGAGAGAGAGAGGAGGAGGAGATGTGGTGTGAGACAGATGAAAGTGGAGGCGGTTTAAGAGGGTTAGACAAAGTCAGCAGATGCCCGCTAGGCAGTTTTGAAGTGTCTCTGTCAGGTCTAGGTGGGTCACTGCACTGGTTGGATCACACCATCCGTTCCACAGTGTGTTTGTGTGGATGGCTGTGCTGTGCCCTGTCTTCAGGTGTGTTTGTGCAGGGATTTTGGATACACATTGCTGTGCACCAGTGTGGTCAGTCGAAGAGCCAACATTTGTTGTCTGAAACAGCATGAACACATGCAGGTTTAATAGATTGTGTGCGAGAGGGAGAGAGATATAGGAGTAATAGGATTCACTATAGAAGAAGAGCATTTTTATGTCTGCAGTTAAATTATTTTACATTTACTTTGGCAAAATTAAATGTTATGAATATTGTTCTGAATATAATTAATAATGGACAAACAGGTAGCTCTGTCTCAAACTCATCCCATTGACTGAGCTAGAAGTTGGCATGTCAGATCAAACAAACAGCTGCAAAACCATAGGAAATTCAACCTACAAATGGCTATAATTGGTTATAGTTGTCTGCACATTAACGTGGAATGGGTGTGGAAACCGGTTTTTGCCTCATAGGAAAAATCAAACAAAAAATAAAATAATAAATCTGATGTTGTGAGAGATGAAATTACATTGTGATTATGAAAAATAAGTATAAGATATACTACTGTTCAAAGATATGGAGTTAGCATGAATCAAACGCATCACGGTTTCCACAAAAACAATAAGCAGCACAAGGTTTTTTATTTTTTTCACAAATTTTTCCTGAGGATCAAATTAACATAGAAGATTGATTTCTAAAGGATCATGTGACACTAAAGACTGCTTTAAAAATTCTTATCGACCCCAAACTTTTCAATGGTAGTGTATATAATAATAAAATTGTGAAGATAAACTATTGTATTAAATAATTATTTTTATTTTAGAGGTGGAAAATGAGCTTCCATAGATTAGAGAAAGTATATTACTTGGGGAAAAAAAGCAATTAACGCTTTAAAGGATTGGTTACACTTTGCTTGAAGGGGTGTGCATGAGACTGACATGACACCTACATAATCATGACATGACACATGTCATGAATATGAAGGTTTTTTTATGCATGTTTATGACAACTGTCATTAAATGTCATTCGCTCAGTTATGTCATTTTTAATGCAAATATGACATTATTTGACCTAACCCTAACCTAACCCTACCCCTACCCCTAACCATAGGTGTCATGTCAGTCTTATGCACACCACTTCAAGTAAAGTGTTACCAAAGGATTTGACTCCTTTCCAGAATTTTAAAGGGATAGTTCACCCAAAAATGAAAATTCTGTCATGAATTACTCACCCTCATGTCGTTCCAAACCCGTAAGACCTCCGTTCATCTTCGGAACACAAATTAAGATATTTTTGATGGAATCTGAGAGCTCTCTGACCCTCCCATAGACAGCAAGGGTCCTTACACGATCAGCGTCCAGAAACGTAGCAAGGAGATCGGTAAAATAATCCATGTGACATCAGGGGTTCAACCGTAATTTTACGAAGCTACGAGAATACTTTTTGTGCACAAAAGAGAAAAAAATAACGACTTTATTCAATAATTCGTCTCCTCCGTGTGTGGCCTCCGAGACCCTGTAGCGCCATTTTTGAGAATATCCACTGAACGCAAACAACGTATGGTGTTCTGTCTCAGCCGCACCACACGGATATGTTGTTTTCGTTCAAATCAAAGCACAAACAATGTAGAAACGTATCCGCGTGGCGCAGCTGACACAGAACAGCATACGCTGTTTGTGTTCAGTGTATACTCTCCAAAATGGCGCTACAGGGTGACGCGGAGGAGACGAATTGTTGAATAAAGTCATTATTTTTTTTCTTTTGCGCACAAAAAGTATTCTCGTAGCTTCATAAAATTACGGTTGAACCCCTGATGTCACATGGATTATTTTACCGATCTCCTTGCTACGTTTCTGGACGTTGATCGTGGTAGTACCCTTGCTGTCTATGGGAGGGTCAGAGAGCTGTCAGATTCCATCAAAAATATCTTAATTTGTGTTCCGAAGATGAACGGAGGTCTTACGGGTTTGGAATGACATGAGGATGAGTAATTCATGACAGAATTTTCATTTTTGGGTGAACTAACCCTTTAAGTCCATATGAATGAACTTAAAACTTGTTGCTATACCAATATTTTTAGCAACAATTTTTACAGTAAATTTCAGTAAGGTTCAATTTGCAATAAATTGAAGATAGTGTAACTGTGTTTGCACACAGTAAATTATTCAGTTGTATTGTCCTTACTATACTGTATCACAACTTTTTTTAAGCCCATGGCAGTGGAGGATTCAAGCATATATCATGAAAAATAGGTGAGGACAGTAGTAATTTAATTTTGCAAGAAGAAAGCTGTGATCATTTTAGAGAATGTCATAGATTGTAAACATTGCTGTAGTTCGGGTAGAGCAGATGTCAGATTGTTTGGTGTCTTCCTTAACAGATCTGACCCTCTTTCTTTCTTTTTTTCTTTTTTACTCCACTGTTCTTTCTGGTCTGTCTTCTTCTTCCCATGTTCTCCTCTCTGTCTTTTCCTTTTCTCTTTCCTCTTCCTATTTCCTGATTGGATGAACTTGTGATCTGTGTTGTTTCTCCCCCTCTGCCTATCCCATAATACTCCGGGACAGGGGTGGAGCATCTTATACATTACTTCCGTGACACAGCGTGGTACAGTGACCTCTACTAAAAGCTTCAGCCTTTGCATGGTCACGTGACGTGAATGACCGATGCATGCTTTTTTGAGTCTGATTTTTATTTTTGAAGCATGGATATTCAGTTTTTTTTTTCTTCAAACATTCACAAAATACAGTTGGCATGAGACTTTTTTTCCTCTTTTTTTTCATGACTTTTTTTGCCCAAACCACCTATATGAAGTCCTAATGTTTCTGCTCCTCTCTTCCTCCGTGGGCTGTGATTGCTGTGGTTGTGTCAGATCTGTGTTTGCTTTGATGGAGCTACAGTGTTTACTGGTGTGTTCTGGGAGACCCACCATCTCTCACAGCCTGCTCCCAGAGACTTTATCCAAACAGTCATCTGTCTGCACAGGTGAACCAGGGTTTAAATATCTCAAACATACACACAAGCAATGAATTAGCCCATAGTGCAATTGTCATTGGTCCTGTGCCTGCACAGGGAGACGCTGAAACGTTTTAGAGGGCAATTAAAATAAAATTATCCGATAACTCCTTCAGGATTCACATTATAACCTCCACTTCTACAAACCCAGGATATTAAAAACTCTTCTATTATCAAAATGGCCACATTTCATCAGCCAAATCTTACAGTAAGACGAATGACTGAATTAAAGCCAGACTTTATTACAGCTCTCTCTGTTGTAATATCCAGCAATCGTGTTACAAAGTTATCTTGTGAAACATTTTGGAGGCAGTTGATTCGCCTTGCTCTTCTTTGAAATCTGGATGCTTTTTTAGGGCTCAACGATAAAGGATGTTTCTCTTCTAGGCCAAACAGGCCAATACTTCAGATTTTAATAGACACCACCACCACAAAAAAAAACAAAAAAACACCAACCCTACAAAATTATTTTAATTACTTTAAAATTATTTTTTAAATTATTTTAATTACTTTAAAATTATTTTTTAAATTATTTTAATTACTTTAAAATTATTTTTTAAATTATTTTAATTACTTTAAAATTATTTTTTAAATTATTTTAATTACTTTAAAATTATTTTTTAAATTATTCCATACACTGACTATGGGATTGTAGCCCCTGATCACAGATCTCCATCCTGGTTTATTGTGATAAATAATGTTCTGTTTTGTCTTCTGCAGCCTCAAATACTTCAGCCCATCAGTCACATCCCCAACAAGCCCCTCATCCAGGGAAAACTAGCAAGAATAGTCCCCACCGGGGTCCACAATGATGCCTGCACCGAAGAGGAACGGCCTCCTACGTCCTGTCCTACAACCCCCTGCACCGTTCCAATTCTTCCTCCTGCTAAAGACCCTCAAATGGAGTCGAAATCTCTGCCTGACCCAGAAGAGCTGAGCCGGTTGCTTAGCACCCACCTTCGCATACAAGACGACAATGAGAATGACTCATCAGGGGCTGAAGAACAGATTGCGAGACCGACCCCTGAAAGCCATCAACACAAACTCCTGCAGACACCTCATCCCTTGTCCATCTTCAGCCCGCGTGTCCTGTAGCCTCCACGTCTACACAAATGGGTAACTCTCCCTGCTCTGTCTATAGGCAGTGGTAGTGGGTCAAACCCAAAACCAGGACCCTCCGTGAACCACAAGGCCCAGCAGCTTCTTACTCCTCCTCCGTCCAGAGGTTTGCCATGCTTCATGGCAGGGAACCACATCATTACTCGCGGCCGACTATCCCAGCCTTGGCCAGCAGTGGTCGATGCTGACCCACAACACAATGCTTCGGTACCGCTCGGCGTCTCCACAAGACTTACAAAGCCAAAGATCCACTAAGGGTCAGCTGCAGCCATAGACACTAATAAGGCTACCTCCCTGAACGCATGATCACACATGCGGCTTGCACTAGATGATGGTGTTAGTGGCTAGATAACGTTTTAAGCTAAACAAAGCAGCTAAGCTATCGCATCTAACTATGCAACAAAAAGTAGTGTCACAATCAGCGCATCTGTCGCACAAAACCGCCCTATCACTTCAAACTAAAAGTCATTGATCATAATTCCTTAACCACTAAGAAACCTTTACCACTCACAATTACATCATCCATACAAGATCGTTCTAATCTAGCTGAGCTCCTAATGGATTGACAAACTGAAGGAAAGAATGACAGACAGAAATTCAGTCTGAAAGAGAAGGCAAAAGCAGAGAAAACGAGTACTAGAGAAGTCTTTTTACTAATACTCAACAAACGTCAAAGACGACGCGAGTGCTGTGCCATAGACTGCCTGTGGAGATTATTCAAGACACCCTCAGTGTCTGGCTATTTCCCCATGCGGTGTGCCCTCAGGACACCAACTCGTTTAGTGGGTGAATATGACATTTACATCACCAACCTCCTGAGGTTTAACTGCGAAAACGCATATTATTTTCTACGCAGCCTCACAGATCTTGTCTTAAAGAGAGTCATTATGTCATGTGACCCACGTCTCCTTTCCAGTTTCCAAAGGAAAACTTCTGTCTGCTGTGATTTGATCTGTTTGTGTATTACTTTATGCCTCATTTCACATCCTTGTCTGAATTCACCACATAAACATGAAGAAAACAGTGCAAGCTACAAAATCTCAAATTTTTTTTTTATCGTTCTCATTCCTAGAGTACGTCTTATTTCTCAGTGCAGTAGAGTGTCTTTGACCTATAGACACAGTGTTTTGGCAGGAGGGCGGGCACGCCACTGTCAGTGCTTCCTTTATTTTCACCTTGGCTGCAGTCATGATCAGCAGATTTTCAGTTTAATTAGGCTTATGCCTCATGTATTAACAAGGTTCTTTTTCTTTATGAATTATGGCATGCTCAAAGCATAAACTTGCTTTTTCACCCCCCCCCCCACACACATTAGTTGCATACAAAATTGTTATAATGCTTTTTAATTATTTATACATTATTAAGATGTTTACAGTTAAAATGCCTTTTTTAAGCTGTTCAGTCTGTTCTAGTGCTGCAGGAATAACATTTTTGCCTTGTCTTTGGAGCAGAAATACTCTTTTGAAACTTTAAATGTACATAAATTACCCACTTGAAGATTTTTATCTTGATGTTTCAATAACTTATTTTTGGCTCTGCAAGTAATGATAAAAGCATAAACTTGCTTTTTCACCCCCCCCCACACACATTAGTTGCATACAAAATTGTTATAATGCTTTTTAAATATTTATACATTATTAAGATGTTTACAGTTAAAATGCCTTTTTTAAGCTGTTCAGTCTGTTCTAGTGCTGCAGGAATAACATTTTTGCCTTGTCTTTGGAGCAGAAATACTCTTTTGAAACTTTAAATGTACATAAATTACCCACTTGAAGATTTTTATCTTGATGTTTCAATAACTTATTTTTGGCTCTGCAAGTAATGATACATAAAACAGTATCATTTATGGAAAAATTGGACAATTTGTCCTTTGCCATAAGGTTGACTGATTTGATATGAGGTTGCTTTTGTTACCAGTAGGTGTTTTCTAAGGGAGGATGGTTTCCAGTTTGGTTTCCTTAGGGAAATGTTTCTCTTTTCTTAAGGTCAGATTACATAAATGTGTCTCAGAAGGTTGATAAGATTGTCAATAATTTGAGTTTTTGTGCTTTTGGCATGTCTTGATACATAATGCACACTGTAATACACAAATATACAACAAGATCCACTGCATGGAAGTACATGGACTTATCTGTACTATGATTTAAAATATGCAAGAAGCCACTGTGTGTTTGTGCAATATATGTATCAGAGCGTATATACGTATCAGTATATATACCCTTAACCTTCAAAGTGGATGTTTATTCTAAAGCAAAGGTGATTCCATTTTTGCCACCATAAACGCATTGGGTATTACAACATGCTCTCACGTGGGCCACATACTTCTAGACACACCCTAAGCAGAGATGGGCAGCCATGTCTAAAACCAACTAAAGTAAATCAATGGAAGAAGGATATTTGGTTGTGTGTTTCTCTCTCACCCAACTCTGTGGTTATACTAAGCATAAAATCAATGGAGGGCTTGTTTTATAATGCTCTGGAGGCACTTTGTTTGGATTTCTCTCTCTTTTTATCGCTGTATGTGTGCAGGAGGAGAGGTCCCACGTAATACGCTGTCTTCTTGCTAATTCCAAGTCGCAGAAGTACATTGATTCCGTCTGCTGTGGTCAGAGGTGAATCGCTCGTGTCAATATGTCTGTTTACAGATAGGAGTATCTTCTCTTTCATTTGCCTATTAACAAATGAGGCGATACACAAAAAAATTGTGTATAATTAAAGGGATAGTTCACTCAAAAATTGCTTATGTCGTTCCGAAGTATGATGACTTTCTTCTGTGGGAGACAAAAGTAGATATTTTGCAAAAAGCCCATATAATGAAAGTCAATGGACAAAGTTGAAATGGCACAAAAATGATCCTGTCTGCTTACGTTTTGGACCACATTGACTTTGACCAGTTGGGTAACAGTAACAGTTAACAAATTGTTAATTATACCTTTGTGTTCCACAGAAAAAAAGACATACAGGTTTTGAATGACATTTAGATTTTTGGATAAACTTTAGACGGAGATGCAAAAAACTGCAACGTTTCAAGAATATCTGCAAAGATGCCGGTTCCTTTAACAAATCACCATTGAGGAGCCACAGTGTGGAAAAAAACATCATCAAGAACAGTTAACTGCACCAATAAAATACTAGGTATTATATTTCCAAATTGCAAAAATAAATGCACTCATACAAAGACCTGGTACTGTTGTGTAAAATATATTTATGACTTGCTGCCCATGTGTGTATGCCACCTTCTGGGTTCTTATCACCTGAACAATTCTTTGATAGCATGAAAATGTCTGAAACAGTAAACACTTGCCATGAACTTTTTTTTTTTTAAATCCCATTTTTCCTTACATATAGTTCATGTCTTGCCGTGTTTTTCACCTGTTGTGACCCAAGAGTATGCAGCAATGTCAGAATGCTACCATTGCTCCATTGTAGCTTCATAAATACAACAGCTGCCAACCTGTTTGTATGGACAGAAGAGATGTTTACTAAAAGAGGAATGAATTTAAGCACTTTAAATGACCCATTTCAACCTCCACACTGGAGAGACTCTGGTCTTTTTGACCTGTTTGATTTGCTGTCATCTTATTGTGTGCAACTAATTTTATTTGGCTGTTTGTGTCTTGATGTTCTGTCCCTGTGTGCCCTGGTCCAGTGGACATTGTGAGACTTTAATAAAGTGAAGGAATAAGATTCACACTCTTTGTTGCAATTTCTTTGTGTCAGACATTCATTTGCGTGGATTGCTACAGCTCTTCCTTCTTCAGGGCTGCTTTATGCCACCCTGTTCATTATACTGTAAATCCACACATTGGGAAAGAGTTGTCTAATATCCTCAGAGTCTGCCCCAAACACTGTTTGTATAAATAGCCTTGACAATATAAAGACAAATAAGAGCTGAACTTCAGCATTTTCGGAAGAAAAGTTTCAGCATTGTTTTTCCAATGCTAAATGAGTATACAGAGAAATTAAATTAAATTCCTTCAGTTTCATGGTGCAATTACACTTGAAAACAGTCTGGAGTTAATATTTTAACCAATTATTTTAGTTGAGAAAAGACAAGAAAAGTTTTATATGAAAAAGCTTTGAAATTGTTTTGACGGTATGATGATATTTTGGGGGGCTGCTGCGTTGCCAAACAGTTGCTTGGGTGTCTTTAGGCAGTTCTAGGAGATAGATTAATGGATAGATGGATCCTATAGTATAGATGGGTTGGATAGAGATAGATGGATACAATGGGTATTATAGATGGCTAGATACTGTAGTAACTGTAGATGGATGGATACAATAGATAGGTAGATAGATACTAGATACAGATAGATGGATGCAATATATTGATGGATGGATACTACAGATAGATGGATGGATAAATCGATAGACTACAGATAATCTGCGTTTGTCTTTCTCAGATGTCTTGTTGCTGACAGCCTGTATCCCCTCTCATGGCGTTGATGATTGTGTGAAGATTCGTTGAAGGGCAGAGATCCAGGGACGCCATGCTGCTGCCAATGAGTTATTCTCGTTTCTCAGTGCACTGAACTGAAGATGCTGTGTCCTCCAATTCTCTGCAGCAGTTCAGGGCTAAATGCAAGTGGTGTTGATGTACAGCCTGAATATGTGTTCTACAAGGAACAGACTCTGCATTCCCTGCTTGGAAAGTTAGAGGCCTTTATTTTTATATTTTATTTATTTATTTTTATTTTTTGACTTTTTCACTACATTTTTCAGAATGTTTTTCTTCTTTTGATCTACTAGGAAGTGTCAAAGGGGCCTGCTCAGGTGAGATTGGGCTGGTCAGTCAGCCAGTAGAAGCATGTACAGTATATGCGTTTGAAGTGTATTTGGCTTTGAAGTTGAGTGTAGGAGGGTTAACTCCAACCAGGACACTGATTGCTATTGTAGCACAGAGCGGGAACTGATTGGATGACTTAACTGGAGTCTTGCTATCCAAAGTGTTGACCTTCTGACCCCATCTGCCCCACCAATCATGTTTTCGAACTGTATTCTAGAGGTCAAGATATTAGATGGGTATCTTTGCAGTGAATGCTGAGTGTCTAATGGTCTCTTGACTGGATAAATTAGGTATGTGTGGGTGTGTGTGTGTGTGAGAGAGAGAGAGAGAAAGAAAGAAAGAAAGAAAGGGAAGAGAGAGATTGGAGAATGCAGTGTGAAAGAAATTAATTACATAATTGTCTGTGATTATCCGGACCTCCAGAGCGTGTTTGTTTTTCTGTTGTTCATTTGTTTATTTCAATCCAAAACAAAGGCATTGACAGTTTTTTAATTTCCTTGTAATAAAACTCTACAGAAAGAAAGGTTTGGAAAATGGAGAAGAGAAAACAAAAAGGAACAATACTGTCCTTTTCTCACTTATTTCTCTTTTTCTCTATAAGATTCTTTTCCAAGCATGGCTGGGTCAGAGGACCACGGAGGTCTGTGCCACAAGCTTCACAATTCAGTCCATAAATGCTTATCAAGGTTAATATCTAATAATATACTAATATAAAATCTATTATGTAAAAAAATACAAAGTTATAAGGATGAAATCTTTAGCAGAATGAGTTTTTTCCCCTGCAGCGTTTAATGTAGAAAAATGTGTATCGGCTTGCTTGAATAGGCTGTCCTGTCTTGGAGAAGAGGAATGCTAGAGTAGTATCAAGCACTCAGACATGCCCCACTCGGACCTCTGCTCTTCATCACCACGCAATCACTGGAGTGAGCACTTAAACTCATCTTACAGGCTGCCTAGAGGTCAGACAACACTTACAGCTCTGCATTCAATGCCCATTGAAGAAGGTTTTGCTGTCCTGCAAACACACAAGGAGGTCATCATGAACAAAGTTGTTTAAAGCACTGTGAAGACTGAGGCCTGTTTCACACAATTTCATTTCGATGTCCATTTTAACAGTTTAAAAGGTTTATAACGCTCATGTGAGCAGTGCGTGCTGTGAGTTTCGGCAGATCCCCCCCATGCATCAGATGCTGAACTCAGCGTGAAAACATGTTGAAAAATAAGCTAATTACACAATCTTTTGCTTTATAGGGTTTTGTGAGGACATGATAATGGGAGTGAGCTGGTCTCCCATTGCTTGAAAACACATCTGTTGGGCTTGATGTTCCTCATGCAGTGACTGACAAAGCAACACTTTCAATGCAGATGATTATAGCAGTTTAGTTACAATTTGGGCTTTGGGTTCTGTTCTGGATGAATTAATTACCATTTGGATGTTAAAGTTATCCCCCCTCTTCATGTAAAATGCATTTCAACAATCAAGCTTGTAATAATT